CGATGTCAGAACTTGGCCAGGGAACACATATGTTGCCCATGCTGGTCGCTTCCCCAAGGCCTCTGCCTGGGTAACTGAGGATGGGGACACCATGCAAGGCAATCTTACTCTGTTGTTCTCCCTTTGCCACTTTATCTCCACTGTCAGAATGCTCATTGGAGCCGGTGCTGACCGGCTCAATTTCCCTGAGGTTGAGCCCAAGCATTGTTTGTGCTCTGATGGCATTCTGTCGGCCCTGCTGATGGACAGTCCCACTGGTCCAGCTTCCTGAGCAGACGAGACGGCCCGCTGCTTTCTCCTTGTCTCTTATCACTCCTTGTCATTAAAGGAGATGCCTGGCTTCAACTTCAATTTGTGCTGAGATACAGCAGTAACTGGGAAGAGAGAAGGGAAATAAATGCTCCTTACCGTTCATTATTAAGGCCACTGCATTTCTTACTGCTCTGAGGTTTGCTCCCTCTTTGGGAAGGTTTCAATCAAAGGATATATTTATGAGCATCTGGATTGCAACTGCACGATAAGAGACAATATATTGCACCACTTTCTGGAGGAACTTTCAGACTTCAGTTTTCCCGTTCTTACTGACTCTCAGCTGCGTACTTCAACCTTGAGTGTGATATTCTTTGAAACTTTTTCCATTTTACTGAAGCTTTTCAGTATTTTTTTAGCAGTTTTGTCTTTCTAAAAAGACATTTCCCCAAGAGTAAATCTTTCCAGCTCACTCTCCATTAGCATAAAGTTAGATCAGTAACCAAATTCATTGGCATTCTTTTATTCCCTTGGAGCCTAAACTATTCCACAATTTTGCTTTTTTAAGAAAAGTAGAAGGAAAGAAACGAATGCCGAGTGTGCTACAGCTCCATAGCTTAGATTCTTGACGATGTTTAACCAGGGTTCTCATCAGTCTTAATTTTCCTTATTAACATCCCCTGTCTATACATCTTCTCCTTTTTCATAGCACTTGAGTCAGTTTCTTTCAATATGCACATTATAAATTTAACAACATCCTGCCAAAAAAGCTCACACTCTTAAAATACTTCTCCACCTAAACAGATGTCCTTTGCAAACCTTACAAGCAGACCTGTCAAGGGAATGTGGTATCCAACACATAATTTGAAATAAATAGTAAAATTTTCCCAATGCAATCTCAAAAGAGAAAGAAAAAAAAACGAGCCCATGAACTTTGAAAGATATATGATACAATCTATTTAATAACATTACCCACAAAGATTTTAGGGAAAGTGGGTGGGTATCAAAAGGATTTAATGTGTAAAATAATAGTCCAAATAAAATAAAATTGGGGGAAGGAAAGAAAACCAACCAGTGTCATTTAAAGATATGTTGTTATCTTGATGTAGATGAAAAGGTGCCCAGGAGACTTGAGAAGGGACTGTAGTTAGAGTGGAAGATAATGGCTCAGCATGGTCTCTGCTTTCCTGGACGTCACGTTAACTACTGTGGGTTCAGAAACTGGCTTAATGACTTTCCCAGGATTTGGCCTGGTCCTTTATCGGTTCACTATAACAAGAACATAAGCCAGGAGAGCCTGAAAAATTGCTGCAGCAAAACATTCCCTCCTGCTGCTGCTGTTCGAAGCTTTGACCACCGGCCTTGGCCTTTAGGGTTTATGCCTAGATAGAGTTAGAGGACAACTCCTAAAGGTCAAACAAGTCAATAGTAGTTAGGGACTCTGAGAAAAAGAAAGGGGGCTCTAGGCATCTAGACGTACATATTTCTCTTGCTTATGCTGTTCGCTGCTATAAAATGCTTGGCTAACCATAATTGAATTTGACAATAATAAATCATGTTGAAAGTGTAGAGCTCACGTAAAGAATAGCGTTGGAAATGGTGAAGACACCAGAAGCCAGAGTTCAGGAAATGTCATACTCACATAGAAATGCTTCAGATTTTTCTCAGAGCTTTATTGTCTTATTTATAGAAAGGCTCCAGACCACCCAGTGCACAAAGTCCATCCTGGAAACTGTACATAAAATCATCACTTTAATTCAGCTTTTGCTCCTGTTGTCATACTGTAGCTTTAAGTCTATAAACAAAGAAGAAACTGAACTTTCAAAAAAGAAGAAAAGAGTAAAACAGATGAACTCATGTTTCTTTCTCATCCTTAGTTGCTGATCACACCCTAGTGGAGAGGACTTGTGAAATTTAAAAGGAAACTATGTTTCGGCCTTATTTTCCTCTTACCCCACCCCACTGCTCTACACAATCCTCTGAGAAGAGCAGTCCCTGGTGTCCACAACCTTATTTCTCTTCAGGCCAGCGGAAGACTTATTTAAAGAGGCCTTGCCATGCCCTTGCTGTCATTCCAGAGCCAAGTACACTCCTATGCCAGGCCCTCGCCATGCCACCTTTTAAGGACACCTGGTGCCCCAAGCCTTGCAAACCAAATCATTTACTATATCTTTTATTTGAAGGACACACAGAAAGAGGTAAGAAGGTCTTTCAGGAGGAATGAAGTTTCAAATAGGTTGGGATGTTTGCAATCTTCCCCTAAAAGCTGACTAGGGCACTAGCACGGGGCTGCTCAGTCGCATCTGGCATAAAGAGCCGCTGTTTTGTTTTGATGGAGCTTCATCCTTTCCCTTCACGAGGTCTTTTGGTCTAATTAAATTTCAGGGAGACAGAGCCTTGGCAGGAGGTTAAAGTGAGCTGCTAGACTGGAATGTAGGAGTTGGGCTCAAAACTAAATTGGGAAGTTTAACTGGGTGCGTCTCTGGTTTCAATGAAATACTTTTACAGTGTATGGTAGCAATGTCTGTTTCTAAGCTTTTGAAAACCATTTTTCTTTTTCCTTAATTGTAGTTCCCTAGTTGTTTTTATATTACGAGCTACTTGTAGAAAAATACAGGAAACATAATTACAATACAAAGCTCCCTTTCCCAAGCCTACTGAGGTCATTTGCAGCCAAACTTGGTTTTAGGGTTTTGCTAACCATAAGTTCAGAGCCATGAATTACATCCCATGCAATACTGGTTGATTTACAACAAGTGTTATGTGATTAAACAATAACTATGTTTCTCCAAGCTGTGTTACTGCTATAGAATTGGAAGGCCATAGTGCTTCATGATGCCACATTTCCCAGCTCCCTCTGGGGAGAAAATGGGTATCTTTCTGTGACTCCTACCATGAAATAGAAGTATTGTAGAAGTACGTACCTGTTTATTTAAAGTAAGGAAAGAGAAATAAATTCATTCATTTTTCTACTTTTATTTCCAGTTCTATGTAGCACTGGGTTAAATTGCTAATTATTAATTTTTGTAACCTACCTTTCCTGAAGAATCTGTATATGGACTTACAGGCCAGCAGAAATAACTCGTTTTACTATTATAATACTCTGGAGAGGAAATCAGTACTTCATCGTATTGTGAAATGGAACGCCTTTGGGAGTTTGATTTATTCAACGCTAAAAAGTCGTGATAAATGATTGAGAATGAGAGTTTTGAAGGTACTCTGTTGAAGCACAATTTCAGGCAAACAGTACAGATACTCAGAAGTGCATCCAGACACCCTATGGCAGGAAAAGTATACCAGGGAAGGTGAACAGGCAGAGTGCCCTGCAGAACAGTGCCCTGCTTCTCCTGGCATTTCCACTGTGAGTCCATAGCAAATCTCCTAGGGCTGCCTCCTTCAGGGGATTCTGAGAGAAATGAGTGAGCAAGGCTTTTAATTGCAGCCTGATGATCTGTTACTTTCAGTTGACATAACTGGTAGTGAAAATAGTGTCTTAACGAGATATTTATCTTGTTTAAAGTTCAGCGATTTTCATATTGCCTCCACGGTCTTCTGTTTTGAGTATTCATATCTTATGTACTATTTGGTAAATGCATTTGTAGATGGAAAAGCCATGCGTTTTTCTTTTCTTCTCTCATTCTTTCTTGCCCCCTGCTCCTTCCCTCCCCTCCTTCCTTTCTGCAAGTCATCTTGAAATGCTCACCTCAATTTTCTTCAGAGAGCTGTAATATGAAATTGGTGAGTGAGGGCTAAGATGCAGGGTTAATTTATTCTCCTCTAGTTTTCTTTGAGCAAATTTTCCAAGGAAATCTTTTAAATGGATGGAAACTCTCTCCCTTAAGCCCCCGTACGTTTGCAGTTTCTGCTCACTGGTAACAGCTGAGTGAACGGACCCTACCAGTCAAGGACAAATTGTTTGATAGTTTTTAGTATTTTGATAAGGCCCTGTCAGATGGGATGAGAAACTCAATTATCAAGCAAATGGCGGCCCCAGCGTCTTGTACAGGAGCTGGAGGTTCGTATGAAAATTAACCTGACCCTCCAACGGAGCGGTCAGGGGACACTGTGCAACGGCAGTGCTTGTCCTTCAGAGCAGTGTTTTTCAAACTGCCTGTTGCCCGTCGGTAATGGGTCGAGATGAGCATTTTCTATGAAATGGAACAGAACCGAACAGAATAGAAAATACTGTGGCTAGGGCCCCTGGAAGTCAGGGTGAGGTCTGCTTCGTGAAGCTTCGGTTCCATTGGAAAGAACTGCGCAGCTGGAATTAACGCAGCTGAGTAGTAAAAGGGGCGCACAGCCCCGCCTGGAACGACATCTCCAGACCGCGTCTCCACGCCCTGGCTGGTGGCTCGGGGCTGACGCGGGCGTCCCTGCCCAGAGAGGGGCTGGTGGGGGTGGGGGCCGGGGCTGTGATTTACTCACTTCTCTTTCTTCTCGCCTGAGAAATGTAGTAATTCAAAACAATTCTTACAGTAGCGTTCCTGTCAACTTCATGTGTATATTTTAAAGTCACTGAGCGTCCGTGGGACGCAGTGCACGGGAGGGCTGCGCTGGCTGTAGGTGGAGGGCTGTCACCGTCCTCACCGGCTGCGCAGCGCATTCTTAACCCCAACCTTCCCATGATTTATGGCTCCAGAGCCAAGATGACGTGCCCTGAGGGGGACAAAAGGAGGGAAGCGGGAGCCTTGAACGCAGACAGTCTCCGGACTGCCACCCCAGACTAGCTTGTTTTTCCCTCCGCCCTTTAGGACTTTCTGCAAGGAGACTGCACCAAAGCGAAACAGAAGCTGAATTGGAAGCCCCGGGTCGCTTTTGATGTAAGTGTTCTTTTCACAGTGGGGCCCGTGGGCCCGCTTGCCGCAGGGCTAGTCCGCGTTCAGCCCCACAGGAGAGTGGCAGCCTAGAGGCAGCTGGGTGCCAAGGTGCCCAGGGTGGAGGGCGAGGGGACCGGGTGGAGGCTGCCACGGGAGTGGGGCTGTCGCCAGGAAACAGACAGAAACCCTATTCTCACTGCCCACCTCCTGTCCTGGGTCCCAGGAGCTGGTACGGGAGATGGTGGACGCCGATGTGGAGCTCATGAGGAACAACCCCAACGCCTGAGAGCGGCTGCCCGGCCCGGACCCGCCCGGCTGGCCTTCGTCCGGGTGGAACCAACGCAGGCCGGGTCGCAGGAGTCGTCCTGGAGGGCCGGGGGTGAGCTGTGCGCCCTTCTGACGGTTGCTGGAGACCCCCGCTGCCACTATGCGGTGGTCCCACCAGCAAGACTGGTTTGCAGCAGCCGGGAGGGAAGTGGCACTCCCGGTTCAGCCCACTTTTTTTTTTTTTGTCTAGGCCTCTTCTGAATGGTTTTATGAAATCAACTAGATGTTTTAATCACATGTTCTCTTTACTCGAAATTATGTCATTAGACAGCTGAAATCGTGAGGCTTCCAAATGGTTTTTCTTTTTTCTTATTAAAAATGGCCTTTCTATGAACCAGCAGTGGGAGTCAATGTCCATGTTTTCTCAAAGTTATAAAAGCGGCTATAAGGGGCCCCAAACAAAACAAAACAAAAACCCCCGATCCGTGCCTTGGAGTGAGATAACTTCCTTCAGGCCTGCCCCCATTTGAGAGAGCCCCTGCTGGCAGAACCCTGCCGGGCCTGAGTAGGACTTGGCCAGAGCGACCTCCTGAGTCTCTGCCTGGGACATTTCTTTCTCGCTCTCAGTGACAATAAGCCACTCTATGCAGCCGATTTGGAAACCCAGTTCCTGCAGAAAGAAGGTATTCACACCCGCTCTGGTCTCAGCTGACTATAATTAGAACTCGCGGGGCTCCAGTCATCTCAAAAGAAGGCTTCAGAAATAGAGGGGGGTTAGAAGAAGAAACTTGGAGGTAAATAAATATTGTTGGAACATTCCATGCCAAAGCCCCTGGGTTACCGAGAGGTCTCTGAGCCCGTCCTTGTTCTTGTGGTCTAGGATCTTACACAATACTTATTTCCAACCTCTTCTCAGTGTGAGATCACTTTTTAAGTCTAATTTTGATTTAGTCCTTCAACCCATTTACATTAAGTGGCGAACATATGCCAGATACTGTGCCCTTCAGCTGTATCAGTGTTAATTAGAAATAATAATGAAGAGGCTTTAAAGCTGGGCCTCAGATCACTGAACCCAGTTTCAGACTACATCATTTAGGTGGCCTGGCTTTGACCACAGGTATGTGCTGCTGAGCCATGGACAGTGTATATGTACAGCTTAAGACAGGTGGACACACAAACATAAGAAATGGACAAGCAGCAAGCAAGGATCTGTGTACAGGTGGATACCTTTGCATGAAATACAATATTTTGCCATAGAACGAATTAGGTGAGGACTCTTCTTCTTCCCCTCCCTTCCACTCCAAGGAAAATAAAGTAAAACTTTATAGCAAATGGAATTGCAGCCTTTGCCCGTGGTCCTGTGAGTGTGGGTGAACTGTTTCTGAATGTCTTCACCAGCAGGTTTATGGTCTAGGGGAGGACCCAGGCTCAAATGGCTGGCGGCTGGAGGCAGGAAAGAGGGCTCTTTGTGTGGCTGCCCCGAAGTTGCTGCGACAGCATGCTGGCCTGGGCCAGCCTCAGCTTTGATGGAGCAGAACTAGGGTGACCTGAGCTAGCCACCCCCACCTTCCTTCTCAGAAGCTGCCCCAGGACGGGCCTTCTCCCAATCGGGGATGCTGCTAATTGGAAACAGATGGTCCCTGGCAGACTGAGCCTGCAGGACTAGGCCTGCTGGTGGGCACACACACACACACACACATACATACTTATACACTGTCACTCACAGAGTTCAATACATACATACAAACATAAACACAAATACACACCTATAAACACAACATCTCATACACATTCAGTCACTCACTTGCAAACCCAACTCGCAAACCTCCTATCACACACTGTCACATGCCTACTCACAAAATCTCACAAATAAAATACATTCATACACATTCCCCTTAGCCTTGACTTGGTAGGCACCTCCTCTCCTCCTCTGACCCCCTGAATCCTCCACCTCATCTCATACCCAGGCATAGAGACTGTTCTAGGGGCTCTAGGGCTTTCAATGGCCCCATTTAATTCAGTGTGTTGGGGCTTAATAGCCTAAAGACATAAGTTCTTCAGTGAAGAAGAGGAGAGATTCTAGGTAGGGGTTTAATGGGACTCCAGTGAAGTCATAATACTAAATTATTCTTCTCAAAATGGCCTGGAGAATTCGTTTTTGAAAGACACAAAAAATATTGGTTGCAACCTTTCTATTCCTGAATCCTCAATGGGGGGCAGGGAGTGGGGAGTCATTTGTCTTCTGGGCCTCACTGTGTGTATTTAAAAGGAGAAAAAGAAAACAAATTGTTTATTTCTGTGTTTTCTGTGCTGTGAATTTCATTTGGACATTCTTCAAGACAAATTCTTCTATCTTAAATCTCAACTCAATTTCAGTGAACTTATTTTCCCTTTTTTTCTACTGTGCCAACTTTGGCTATTCATTTTAGATGTGGTAAAATATGTTCCACTTCGATTTTTTTAAGTTAAAAACTAAGAAAGTTAAATTTTCAGTACACTCATATAATAGCAAAGCAGTCAAATACCAAATTTGTGCCCCCGATGAGCCACAAGGAGCACAGATACAGGGGCCACACAGCAACCTCACTTTTCATCCCACTTGCCTGCCAGACTCTGTCCTGGACTACATCTGCTGCCCTTTGTCTTTGAGGAATTAAGAGGGAGCTAGGTCAGGCATAATAAACCTGACACACCTTTACAGCTATTTACAAGCAAAGGCCCACCCTGACCTTTAGGGGAAGTGCTAAAGCGCTTGGAAGACAATGCTAGGTGCAAGAGGAGGCCTTCAGAAACTCGGTTTCGGTCTGTGACGGTTGCTCCAGTAAACTAGCATGAGATTTGGTAGAATCCTTGGCCACACTGGTGGGTTGCTGGCAAATGAGGCCTTCCCTGTGTTGTCGAAGGTCGTGGCAAGAGACAACACTGAAATTTCATTTCAAAATAACCCTAAACTTACTGTTTACAAATAACTTTCTAAACCCCAAGAAAAAGCCTCAAAGCATCCCAAGCATCTTGTTTGTATACGGGAATTCCAACCAGGCATAGTCAGTTTGAAGATGTATCCCAGTAAGTCCAGTCACACTCGGATTTTTCAGAACCTGCACCGCAGCCTTCTGTGGATGATGGCATGAGGAGTGGGCGGGTGTGCGGAGAGCCCCCACTGGGTTTTACAAAAAGATCGTATGTGTATGTATGTGTGCGCACGTATCTTACAATCAGATCTATACATTCTGGGATGCCACCGGCACCTCCCAAAATTGTGTTTTAATCTTAGGGATGTCGAGAATTTTCACAAACAGCAGTGACAACAGGGACACAAAGCCTTTCTGGGGCTCGCTTACCCTCCGCAGTCAGGGGTTTCCGCTCCGTGGGTCCTCAGTGTCCTGTTACAACACGCGGGGAGTCGTCGGGGTGCTGCGGCCCTGTCCCAAGCAGACTCCAAGCCAAGATCTCCCCCCCCCCCTTACCTCCCAGCCTCTCTCCCCTCCCGGTGCACACCCGGAGCGGAGCGAAGGGAGCACATTTTGAGGGAGCGTGCCCTTAGGACTATTACTCGGGACTGGACCTCTGGCCGTTTCGCTCTCCCGAGCCTGGGAGGCCACTGCTCCCTCCCCCAGGCCCTAGCTGTGGAGCTTCCCGCAGCTCTGGCCCTCATTCCCCCAGCCTGTGCTCTATCCCCAAAACCTTCCAAGGCCCCTTTACGAATACGAAGGCAGGGCTCCACTTTGCCCTCAACCATTTCCTCCGCCAGAGTCTCGGTTAGGAGGCCGACCGCAGGCTGACCCCAGGCCCCGCAGCCTATTCTGTGTCTTCCGCCCTTCCTCCAAGGTCAGGGGTCACACACAACTGATGCCCCGGACGCTCTGTTCTCAGCTTCCCCTTTTGATCTTTAAACTCGGGGGGCCGAAATGCCCGCCCGTGTGTACGCCCCCCCCACTGAAGGCTGCAGGCACTGGGACCGCTTTGCTGGTGTGAGGCAGAGCCCCGACTGCAGCTGCTAAGACCTAGGCTGGCCAGCCTACCCAGCTCGCTATCTCCGAGCCCCTGGCGAGCCTCTAGGGCTCCCAACTTGCAAGCTTCGGCAGGGACTGAGGACGCTGTTGGGACCCCAGACCACAGGGGACTGTGCGGCCCGGCGCCGTGCCCCGTGCGCACCGCCCGCCTTGCGTCCCGCCGCCCTCGCTGGGCTAGAAGGTCCGACGCACTTGTAGGAGCTCGTACAACTTCACCCTCCCCACCCAGGCGCACCGGCGGGGAGCTTTAGAGGTGATGGAGGAATGTTATTAAGAAGGAAAAAAACCTCCATATTTGTAGTCCTGGCCTCACTAATGCGCCGGGACACTCAGGGTGCACGCGGGACTGAACACTCAAAAGCCTAAGGTCCAAAGAACAAGATCTTGGGTGACCTTGGGGAGAAAACTGTAACTAGGGCTCCCAGACTGCTGTCGATCTGACAGGAGACTGTGGGCCCCGTTGGCCTGAGAGGGGAAGCCATGCAGCCCGAGGCCCGGGCCTGAGCTGCTGGCCCAGGGCAAGGGAATATATATTTGGAAGAGGTCAAGACCTCGGCTGGAGTCTGACTTTTTATGGTGAGGAAGCCGCCTGGGAAGGGCCTCCTGGTGAGGCTTTCCTGTTGTGCCACTTCTCCCCGGCAGCGGCAGCGCCAGGAAGAGAGGGAGGTGTTATCCCTGCGGCACCTCAAGGCCCTGGCTCCACGGACTGTTTCCTGGGGACTGAGTCAGTGGACAGCCCTGCCCAAGGGACCAGCTAGCAAACGCAGAGCAAAGTCACATTATCTTACTGTCACCAAACACTTACTGTAAGTTGTTGCCTTGTGCCTCCCCAATATTCTGTGGAACCAGAGCTGAAGTGGAGTGGGCGTGCAAGAAGCCCCCCCAGGGACCTGGGACTGGTGACCTGGGACATCACCCCATCAACTTCTCTCCGGGAATTTCTAGCACTTAGATAGCCCTTGGCTGTGGGAATAACGATGTGACCAAATTTCCTGTCTCTCACCAGGCCACTGAGGACCGGGGCTCAGAAGGCACCTTCACACACAGGCTAGTCCACACCCGTCCTCTTGTTGCAACCCAAAAACCCAGCAACCCTACGAGGCCTGGCAATTGTCCACCGGTGTCACCTGTGCATAATAATAAAAGTCCTCTTTGGAACCTCAAGAAAGCTCTGGACACCCCCAGAGCAGGCTCCAGAAAGGACCCTGAGGCACTGAGGACCATTTGGGTGAATCAAAGGAGCCCCCGTGACAGGCTCCAGGGACAGGCGTCTGCTGCCCTGTGCACCATTGGGGATGCTGATTTTGCTGCACTAGGAGGATAGAGTTTTTGTTTTTCCTCCACTGGCAGATTTTTTGGAATCTGATCACTGCCTAAACACGTGCTCTCCACCCCTGTCTGGTTTCACATCTATACCATTAGTAAGACCCCAACCCAGACTTCAGCACCAATGACCTGCTTTTATACTGAAGGAAATGTGAAGGCCTTAAGAGTTAATGGTGCTAAATGTGTTGGTTTTCCTCCTTTTCCCCTGGGGTAAGTAATGGCAGAGGTAAGGCCTCTCCCCCTCTCAATCTATATTGTCCTCAAAGCCGTAAATCAAAACTCCTTCAGTCCCCAACCTCCAGTCCTGGGTATCTGAAGAGCCACTCCCTGTCCCTACTTCCTACTGGACTCCCACCACTCAGGTCAATAAGGAGGCCCCACAGGCTGGTCCTGGCTTCCCACCCACTGCTCATTCCCCGGGCTCAAAAATTGCACTCCCCTGACCACCCAAGTAGCACCAAGTTGTGTTGACTTACTGGGCAATGAGCAGCCTACAGTCAGTCTCCCTAGCAGCAACCTGTAGAGACAGCCAGGAGAAGAAGATGGGCAGTTTAGTCCAAATGACCAGCAGTGCTAGCTGCCGGGCTTGGAGGAACCGAAAAACGAACCAGAGAAAAAAGATGCTCTTTGGGAGAACAGAGGGAGGTGGCATCTGGAAGAGCAAGAGGCCTGGAGAGGCAACCCTGACTGAGATTTCTGGGGTCACCCTCTTGACCCCAGGTAGGGGTATATTGTTATGATCTAGAAGCAATGCCATGCCCTTGCAGGACCACGCAGAACCTCCTCTCCTCTTGGGCTGTTTCTGGTGGAAGCTCCACCCTTCTCTCCTGTTTGGAAGACCCTGGCCTATAGGCAAGGAAATTCCAGATCCTACTGCATCTCTCATAATATGCTCAATATGCTGCAAATTAGAAATCAGTGAAGGAAAAAATCAAGTAAACAAAAAAAATAATATAAAACAGAGGGTTTCTTTTGAGCCAGGGTTTGATGGGAAAGGGGCACAACAAAGGTCCTAAGTCAGGCCTGATGCTCTCTAGGCCATATTTTGATTTTCAATGAGGTGGACATGGTACATTTTGCTCAATTTTCCACCCCTAATCATGTTTAGAACATCATGGAGAAGGGACTTTCATTCTCCTGGATGGATTTTGGAGCTGGAATTTATTTCAGTATTGCTCTTTCCCAACCTGACTCGGACCTGGAACCTGCCATTCCTCCTCCTTTATGCACCAGGTCTTTCTGAGGACTGGGAGTAAGCTCGGGTCCCTTGCATCAGGCCCATCACCCAAAGGGCTCAGCATCTGGGCCTGCAGGCCACCAGGGAGTGGGCTCAGCTGGAGTGGGGACAACCAGGAGAAACTTCAGGTCCTCAAGGCCTTCTGCAGGGGAGTTTGGAGGAAAAGTTGTGAGCAAAAGTGAGAGATAAAGAGGGGGACTAAGGGATGGAGACACAGAACTTAATGATTATATTGGATTCTCACTCAAAAAGGGGAGATGAAGTAAGGTATCAGGCCACAAAAGTTCTGCCTGTGAATATAGAGCCCCAATACTAAAGAAAGGCCATTAATAAAAGCTTTTTGCAAGGAAACTCTTGGCCTCATTATAAACTGAAACAGGAGATTTCAGAAAAGTGGGGTTTCTGTAGCTGGCATTTAGGGTTCCATGGCAAATCTCAGTGGGTTTTTCCATGCCTGTGGCCACTGTCTGAATCGATTAGGCTTTGCTCATTGGAAGCTCTCCTGGGCTTAGGGCTAGCCTGCTCTCTAGCCCCTACTTCCCACAACATGGTGGGGTGAGCACTTTGCTCAAGTCTCTTGATTCCTTTTCTCCCTGCCTCCCCCTAAAGCTCTCTGCTGGCTGAAGAATGACTGCCCAGCAAGAATGTATTCTGCCTGGCCAGCTTTATTACATGGCCACCATCAATCTTGCCCCTAACGTGACATTTGTTTATGACTGGGTGGGAAGGGCTAATGGCTTCATGAACTGGCTCTGAAATGAGTCTAGAGGAGTTTGAAGAGAACGCCCTGTTACACACCAGGCAGGATCCAGTGGTGGGAACTGGACTCAGAAGCAAATGGGACCACTCCACATGGTGTGGAGGTAGAAAACAACTGTCTTTCCAACCAGGCTCGCTTTAGGTGCCACTAATAGTTAGAGAGACCACTAGTATCCAAAGCCTGGATCCTTTATGGATGTCGCTGGGCCTTCTTGGGCAGTCTGTCCAGGCAACCTGGGCCAGCAGAGAGTTCAGGACCTCTGTGGAGTTTGTACCATTAAGAACAAAACAAATGGCCTTCCACCTTAAAAACTGACACCCCTCTAGAGGGAACTGGGTGCCAGAGAAAAGAGCTGTCCCTTCTTCTCCTATCAAAGTTCAGGGGAGCCTAGTAGGGGTATGAGACACTTTTGTTTCCTGACCCCTGTTTCTGACCCCACAGGAAACAGCCAAGAACTTATGGGCGACCAGCACAATCGATCTTTTTTCCTCTAAAAACATCGATTATAAATGACAAACTCTGTGGAATGATAAATTGTAAAATGCATGCTGTTCGCATGCAGCCTGGTGAAAAAAGGCCTGGTAACTACACACTTTGGAAACAGTATGCATCCCTCCTAGACATGCAATATGCCAAGTGCGAGCTTCCAGAGGGCATGTACTATACTGGTGTTTACCTGCTCATGGTAGAAACTGCTAAGAGAATAAATGTGACCACTGCTGCATGAGGGACAAAATGCTACCCTAAAGCCTTCTACAGAGGCTAATTTCAAAATTAGCCGAGTCACCATCGCTGGGTTCTGCCTGGTGTCTCGGGCTAATTTGAAAATGTACTGTGTTAGTTAAAATACGAAGTTTTCTTATAATATCTTACAGAAAAAAAAATGATACTTGTCTCTCAAAAAGTGCAGATCAAACGTGAAAACCACTAAGTAGTAAGTAGTTCTCCCAGGTTAAATACGGTTGGCAAGGATTAGTTTTTCTTAAATTGGATATGAAAATCCAAATGCAAATATAGTGACACCAGAAACCATTACATATGTGGTTTTAAAAATAAGAATAATTTGTAAATTTTCTGACCTTCCATTCGAACATAGGCAACCCATGTAGAAATAACTATCTTTGCTATATACGTGTAACACAAGCACCTTCCTGAACACACGTGCCTTCCATGCCTGATTTTCAAATGCTGGAATACAAGAGGGCAAAAATGACTGCTAAGAAGCCTCTCCGCCCCCCCCCCCGCCCCCACAAGCACTTAAAAGTTTTCAGGAGCTATGGCCAGGGTCTCATCTCTGTCCGCTGAAATCAGATCATCGTATTCATACCCGGTTCTTGGTCCAGCCACAGAGACTCCGGACTCAGGAAGAAGAAACAAGGGGCACCCAAAGCCCACACCCCATCCTGGCGGGACCGGGAAGAACTCACTCATCGAGTCCATTCCAGCTAGAGCTGCCTGCGCTCCCTCAGGGCGCCCGGGCTGACCCCTCCGGGCTCCACGGCCTCTCGTTCCCCTGCCAGCCAGACCGGCCCCCCACCCCGCAGCCCACCACTCAGGGATAAGCGGTCCAGTTCTGCAGGGCCAGGCAGGGCTTAGGCCCAGGGCTGGCTGTAGCCGCGATGCCCTGGGGCCACAAATCCGAATTCGGAGAAGATTCAGAGGATCAGGGGCACGTGGACCTTTAACACTCCGAACCCGCTACCTGCCTGCACGCCTCTCTTCCCGTCCTGTCCTTTAGGCTGAGCAAATCCTGCACGGGGCCACTGCCAAGTGATTTGTGGCCTCTGTCAACCAACTTCACACACTACGACGACGCATCCCTGCCAGGGAGGCCGCCTGAGGCCCCAGCGCTGGACCGAGCATGTCCGCGGGGCCAGGCTGAGGGGCGCGGGCTGAGAGGTGCTCCTGCAAACCTGTGGTTGTCCGGGCTGCAGGCTGGTGCGGGGAGGGCTGTCACCGCGGAGCAATGGAGTGCCCATGACCTTCCCACCCAGGCTGAGTTCCTAAACACACGTGAGTCTTCAAAACAAAGGCGAGAAAGAGTGTAACCGGGAAGGGCTGCTGTCCCCGCGGCGCGAGGGGAAGGAGCAGAGCCCTCCGCCTTTCCCCGCGCACCTCTGCCCTTTGCTACCTTCCCAGCAACGCGGTCTTCGCGGCACCTACGCTCCAACCCCTACACCCGGCCGAGGTCTTCTTGGACTCTATTTTTCTCCCCAAACAACCGGTTTCGGGGGGGGGGGGAGGCAACCGAGGAGCCAGGGAAGGGGCGGGGCGGGAGCGACGCGGGGTAGGAAGTAGCTCCAAACACAAACAAGCCTGGCAGGGCTGCAGCGGGTAATTACAGCTAATTAGCTGAAAAGCCCACAGTCCCAGAGCCGCGTCGGGAGTCCAGCGTCGGGCCGCGGGAAACGCGCACCGGAAAGCCCGCGGTGGGCCGCAAGTCTGCACTCGCCATCTCGCGTTCTAAAAAGTTGAACCCGGCACGTAGGAAAGAGAACTGTCTCAGGCTGCCCGAGCGGCCGGGGCGGTCTGAGGATTCGTCACCCAGCCCGAAAGGACTGGCCCATTTGGTCACCTGCTGCCACTTTCCTTCCAGGCCTAGACAACGCATCTCTCAGGCCACCGGACCCTTATAGTCCTTAAATCCCGGCTCACGCTCGGCTCGCAGAAGTGGACCAGTGCACAAACTTCGCGATCTTTGTCAATGGATTCTTTCCCTTCACCATCCACCCAAAGAGGGGAGGGGGGGACCCGAGGAAGCTCGCGGCAGCCCCAGGACCCAGCGCTGCTGTAAGTTCACTGAGCTGAGCAGGGAGGCCCGTTTCAGCCGACTTGACCCGCGGAGACATCCGTGCTGTGGGCCGCAGCATTCTTCCCTGGCTATTAGGTTACGACTCTGAGCAAAGAAGACCCGAGTAAATCAGAGGCCACGTAAAGCAGGTTTTGACTGAAATTAGAGTGTATTTATTTGCAGCAATCCATTAACAATGATCAACTTTTGACAACAAGCAACAGCAATTACTGCTAAGTGTTGCCTCTAGATAGGAGCGGCAGATAGCAGGAAACTGTATTATCTTGAAAACAAACTAAAAGGCCCTGAATGTCTGTAATCAAATTGCCATCTCCCCAAAGTCTGATTGACAGGGCTGATCACTCTAAGATAATGAATTTATTACATTTCCTGGGTTATTTACAAAGGGGGAGGGCCAATCCAATTGCCCCCTAGGTTTAACTGTAAATTAGCAAGAAAAATTGGATTGGAAAGAAACCACCCTAGACTAAAATGTTCGCTTCCCTCCTTCCTTCTTTTAGCTTTAAATCTTTTTCAGAAATAATCGTTCTACACACATATCTTCTAAGTTTTCCAAAGGTTAAACTTCCCTTTCCATCCCACAGTACATTTTTTAGAAAATTCAATCCTTCTAAGTAACACAAGATGGATTGTAAATGTGAATGAATTATATACATTTGCATGGTTTATATTTCCTTTTTCATAAAGCAGTGAAAAAATAGGAAAACCATCTATCCAGCATTTTGTTCACAAGGATGTATAACACATCCCAATTTTTTTTATGTGCTACACAGGCCGAGTACCTCTGTGTGTACCTGGAGGCACATGCCCCTCCCTCTGTACACGGGTGTCACTGCGATACGGGTTCACGGGCTAACAACTTCCAAATTGTGCTCTGTCAGTACTGAGAAAATGTACTTATGTATATGCCAACGCAGATCTGTTTAGGAAAATATGTTTTTACTAGTCACGAAGCAAGCTGACTATATAGTACATTTTGCAGGAGATGCTGCAGGGAAAAAACTAAACCAAAAAAAAGGCTTTTACATTAAATTTGACAGGAAATAGAGGGTTCTCCATTTTTCAGAGATTCAGAAGGAGAATAAGTCATTTGTTCTGTTTTAACCTGAAATTTTTAATCTGAAATTTTTAATAATAATTAAGACTGCATTAAAGTATCCAGACATATAGGCATCATTCAAACTGAATGGTAATTTATTAACAAACAAACACTGAATATGTTCAACAAAAAGAAAAAGATGATAGAATAAGATTAATACAGTTTCCCTTTTATAATGAAAAAAAGGCACAATGTAAGTTTCGGGTAATTTAACGTCAGATTTTGGAAACACTTTCTGGCGTTTGGTCCACGACATCCAACTACAAATTAAAAATAAATTACTATGTTGAAATTTACATTTTAAAACAAGTCCATGAATAAAAAGAAAGCGATTTCCACACACGGGGACTTCCCCCTCCTTTCAACATAGGATAAAATAACATTTTACAGGTGAGAGGTGAAGGAAGGAAAAGGGCAAGGGAACAGGAGAGAAGGAAGAGGAAAGCGTGCTCTCTGAAAAGCAAGAAGAAACTTACGTGTTATCTGCGGTAACACTGTCCTTTAATAAACCATGATTTTGCTGTCTTTGTAAAATGGTCTAAGGTTTTGTTTATTTAGATAAGGCAAAGTGGAAGTGGCTCTGAATTAATCTTTAAAAAATAGTGTTTCTTGTTTTTGTGCTGGTGAATTGAATTTCTGGAGGGATTCTTTCTGTTCGCTGGTTTGGAGAATGTTTTTCAAGATCTTAAAAACCGGATTTTTTGTTTCGATTTTGCGTTGATGGTTCTTTAGGCTGTTCCTATTCTACGGTTCGATTCAGTTCGGCTTTGAGGTGGCGGGGGTGTCAAAACTTGCTACAGTCATACACGAAAGCCCCGGACGTGCGATAGAGAGACTGGCTGGAAGGGAAGGCCATCTGACAGCTACTATTCCCGTTCACCGGAGAGTTGTTCAAGCCGATCCTCTGTGACTCGAACATCTCCCGCACCGAGTGGAAGTTCTGCTGCTGGCTGGGGTAGCCCGCCGCAGCCGCAGCCGCAGCCGCACTGGCCAGATGGCCCAGGTCTCCGCTCGCTTGGTTCAGGTACCACGAGGTGAGGCGACCTTGGTGGGCTGCAGGGTGGTGGCCGGCCTCCTGGCCGCTGCCGTGACTCAGGGAGGAAGAGCTGCTGCTGGTGACCGGGGGCATAGAGTAGTCGGGTAGGGGGTCGTCCACGGCTGCGCCGCCAGCTCCCCCGGGCGCGCCCTGCAAGTGGCCACCGCGTTCCCCGGCCGCGTACAAGCTCATGGCCTGCAGGTTGCAGTGGTAGGTCCCGGCGCTCCCGGTGCTGCTGCCCCCGCCGCCGCCGCCGCCCCCTCCGGAGCTGCCGGCGCTGGAGCCCTGGCTGCAGGGGGAGCTGTAGAGGGAGCTCTGGCCGGGCGAGTAGGCGCCCAGCGCCAGCGGGGGTGCGATGCCGGGGCGCGAGGACCCAGCCGCGGAGGCTAGGAGGCCGGAGCCGAGCTCCGCCGCCGCGCCCTGAGGCGACCCCCGCAGAGACGTCATGATGTTGTCCACGCTGAACCCCTGGCTGTGGTGCGGCTGCGGCGCCGGCTGCGCGGGCGGTGGCGGCGGGGCGGACTCGGCGCCGTCCAGGCTCAGCGGCCGCGCGGACGGCAGGCTGCCCGGGGGGCTGCTCCCGCTCGACAGGCTGCTGCTGCTGCTGTCGGGGCTCTCGATTTTGGGCACCGCAGCGGCGTTGCCGCTGCCCAGGGCGGCGGCCGGGGACAGGGGCTGGGGCGGCGAGGGGCACGTACCGTTCTCGGTTTTGATGTCCTGGATACGCACCGGCGGCGGCTGCGGTCCGGGCGCGGCGCCGTCGGTCGGCTCCGGCGGCGCAGGCGGAGGCTGGCGGCCGGGCGGCGGCTCCTTGAGGTGCAGCCGGTCCTTCTCTTCCTTGTCCTTCACGGCGTCCTTCTTCTTGAAGCGCCGCCGCCGCCGCAGGAAGCTACCGTTCTCGAACATGTTGTACGAGTCCGGGTCCAGCGTCCAGTAGCTGCCCTTGCCCGGCTTCTTGTCGTCGCGGGGCACCTTGACGAAGCACTCGTTGAGCGAGAGGTTGTGGCGGATGCTGTTCTGCCAGCCCTGCTTATTGTCCCGATAGAAGGGGAAGCGGTCCATGATGAACTGGTAGATGCCATTGAGGGTGATCTTCTTGTCGGGGGCGTTCTGGATGGCCATGGTAATGAGAGCGATGTAGCTGTAGGGCGGCTTCACCATGTCCTTGGGCTGCGGCTGCGGCGTGTAGGGCCCGTAGGCGCGGGCCATGCCGCCGGGATACTGCTCCGCGTGCGCGGGGTGGGAGTACACGCTCATGGGGGCCGGCATGGCGGTGTAGCCGCCCCCGGCCGCCGCCGCCGCCGCGCGGTAGTAGCTCTGCTCGCCGCCGAGGTAGGGCACCACTCCCAGGGAGTTGGGGCTGGACACGGAGTAGCGCGCCTGCATGGCCCCCGCTCGCCGCCGCCCCGCGCCGCCCGCCGCCCCCCACCCTCGCTCCGGTCGGCCGCGCCGCGCCGGCCGCCTGGTCCGAGTCCGGGCCTCGCGGAGCCGCCAGCTGCTCGCGGCCTCCCCTTCGCTCGCTCGGGCTCCCCGTGCGCCTCCGGCCACTTCAGGGCCCGCGCTGGCCGCGAAGGGGAATCGGTGCTACGGGAGAGGGCCGGGCCAGGACGCAACGACCGGCCTTGAAGAAATTCGCGGAGCCACTTCCAAGCAAGAACGGCCAAAAAAAAAAAAGCCAAAACTAAAAACAAGAAGGCGCTCTTCTTGCTACACTACCTACGCCTTCCAGGAGGCTGCCTCGAGCCGCGGGCGAAGGCGGCCAAATCACCAGGGCGGGGGGCCGCGCGCCGGCCGCCTTCCCCGGCCCCGCGTCACCTTTTTTTTTTCAGTCTCTCGCGCGCGGCCGCTTAAGGAAGCATTGGAAAACTTCTGAACTTTTGAGCATCCGACACCCAGGCGAAGACTTTTTTACGCAGTTACATTTTTTTCCGGGCAGCGGAGCCCCGCCCTACCGCAGAGGCAGCAGCCAATGAGAAGTGAGAACCGCCTCTGAATGAGCCGGAGGCCGAACCCCGCCGGGCCGCGCGGGACCGCGGGAGGACCGCGGGAGGACCGCGGGGCTGACCACACGCGCGCCGGCCGGCTGGGTCCAGGGCTCGCGCCCAAGCCGTGGCCCGTGCTGGCAGCCGGCTTGTCCGCCCCACCTGCACCCCGCACCACCGACGCCAGGCACTGTCTCCCGCCCCGGACCGTGCACACGGATGTCCATTGTTCTCGCAGATTTTCTGGGTCTTCCTGGGCCCCACACAGACCCTTCCTCCGTCCACCGCTCCCAGACGCCACTGACTCCTGGAGCCCTAACTCGCGCTGGCTCTCTCCTCATTCCTTGACCGCTATGGCTGCCTCCAGCTCGGGATTTCCCTGTCGTCCCTCCTTCTTTCCCCCCTCACCTTTCCTTTCTACCCACTTCTTCCTTCCCCTTCCGATCGACCAGTAAGCTCACTGGGTTCACAGAGGTGTCCTGTTTCTCCCCACTTGGAGGTTTACCTGTCCTGAGCTCGGTTACAGAGTTTTAAGGAGGGCTCGGTCACTGTCGTGCTCTGTTACTGGTGGACAAGAAGTTGTCGACCCCACCTCACCGTCCCGTGACCCCTCCCAGTAGAAATAAGAGAGGAGGAAAAGGGGCTCTGCCGGGAGCTTCCGGCAGTGGTTCGCCCAGGTAGGCTGTGTCCGCCCCTCTGCGGGACGCTCAGCTCCTCGGTCCCCTGGGACCCTGGGCGGACCGAGCGTGCGTTCGGCGCAGGCTGCCGAAACCAGGAGGCTTCCCCGCGCTGCCCTTCAGGGACCTTGCGGGGTCCCTTAGGTTCACAGCCCACCATCCTTTCTTGCCAGGTCCGACTCAGAGGAGGGGTCGTCAGGCTGCGGGCTCACCGACAGTAGCAGGTGTAATGACAAGAAGAAGAAGAAGAAGAAGAAAAAAAAAAAAAACTCGGAGAGCATAACACGTCCCAGTCCAGGCTCTAAAAGCAAACGGGCAGAGTTGCGGGGCAAGCGAGATAACGGGTGTTTGGGAGGAATGCTCAGAACCGCACCTGCAGGGGGACAAGTTCAGAGAGCGTGTCCTTGTGCACACGCCTGAGACGTGAAGTTTCTGGGCGACTGGATGGAATGGGAAGAAGAGAAATGAGAGGGAAAGAAACGAAGGAAAAGAAATGACACGGGCCTGTCTTTGCTTGCAGCGCGATTCTGCGTTTGGGCAACTCCAGAAAAGACCCTCCTGGAGACTGAACACCAGATCCTTTACTAGAAGCTGGGGAAACCAACGAGCTTAGGAAACTGTGAAGAAGAGTAACATGACGCATTTAACACCCACCCACCCCCAATTTCTGACAATCTTTAACTTCAAAGACGTGTTGGGAGCCCCTTTTGGCTTTCCGGTTGCAATCTCGGCTTCCCCTGCACAAAAATTCTAATTGCAGCTTCAGTTGTCAAGGACGCTGACTTAGGTAGCAGTCACAACTCCGTGACACGTTCAAGTTAAAAAAATATAATGTATTTCAGAGTGGATGTTTCTTGGAGAGAAGAAGAGGACCTGCTGCTGCTAGAAGTAGTCTAGGGGGTTGCCCGGAAGTTCCGATTCCTAAGGCCTCTGCCTCCTGGCCTGCTTTGCGCTTTGGGCCACTGAAACTCCTTTGCCAGAGTGTTCACAAGGCCGAGTCGCTGACTGGTTGCAAGAAACATTTATCAGGGGAGGCTCCGTACTTGGTGGCTCCTAAACACTTGCAGGAGAAGGAGGAGGTGGAAACCCCAACACTTGTAAAATGAATTCGTGTCCAACCTCCAGTCCTGTACCCCAACCTCCAGTCCCGTACCCCAACTTAATCAGCTCCTTTGGCTGAGGCTTCATGGGACGCTCTAGCTGCAGCCTGGAAGGCAGTTAAATAAGTGTTCTCCCTAAACACCTCAGCGTTTGGTGAATTCGGTCTTTAAAATATGTTTCTAGTGCTTGCAGTGCGCGGGGCAGAAACAGAGACAGCGACTCGTTTGTTTTCTGAATGTAGGAAATGCCAGCGGGCCCGGGTTTTGCAACAGACAGTCCTGCTCCGCTGCCTCTCCCTTCACTCCCTCCCTCTGTCAGCCGGGAGAAGTGTAAACAGCCTGTTATGTAAATGGCAAATCAAATAACCGTGAGGGTCTGGGTTCCCTGCTTTGGAAATAAAAGTTGCCATTGTGAAATTTGTATCTGGATTGGGGGGGGATTTGGAGGGGTGCAGTTTTATAAAGATCAAGTTTCCATGGTTTAGCTCTGGACATTCGCTAGGAAAAGATATTTGTATTTGTGTTTATAAGCTTACTCGGAAGCAAACCTCTAGTAAACGGCTTGATTGCATTTCAGGTATTTATTATTATCGTTGCTAGCGGCGTCATGCGAACATTCAGGCGCAGTTATGAAGTCTTTGGAGGAATGGGCTAAAGTTCTGTTTCCAGATTAAAGTTTTTGATGCCCTTTTTCCCCTAATTCACGGGATAGTTCAATCACCCGTCCCCTCAACCCCTGCAACCCTTGACTGCATTGGCAGAAATGCCCCGCAGGCGACAGCGATAATGGATGTTTGGTGGGACTGTCGCTCGGCGCATTCCCCCGACCCCCATCCCCTCCTTGACCCGCCAGGCCGGGTTACAATCCCCGGGGCCCACTATAGGGTTCTTAGTTCTGAGGAGAGGGCGTGACTTCACAACGATATTTAAGACAAGGCCTTCCCGGGACCCTAGAGTAGAAAAACACCGGGAGCGGAGATGAAGGGAGCACTCCTGGAAATGCCCGGTTTCGGGAACTTAGTGACGACCTAAGGAATGAGTGTCCAAGGGCGGGGGCGGAGATGGTGCCCTAACGCAGATCACCAGGAGGCAGGAGTTCCTTTTCTTTTCGAGTCCAGAAGGGTCCGGCATCGGGTGGGGGGAGGGAGGGGGCGAGTCCAGGAAATGAGTGCCCCGGGCGGTGGCCCAGTCTTGGGTGCAGGGACTGTCCCTGCTGTCGGAGACCCCTAGGGAACTTTCCAGCGTCCCCCTCGGCGCCGGCCAGCCTAATCGCCCCCACGGCGTGCCCCAACCCCTCCCCGCCCGCGGGTCCGGCGTGTGCAAACCCTCGGCTCCGAGGTGTACCCAGGAAGCCAGCCGGTGGCGGGGCTACGACGCCCGTGAGCGAGCTTTGGCTCGGGGGTGGGGGTTTGCCCCAGGATCTGCTGTAACGGGGACCTCAGGCACAGAAGATGGGGGAAGGGGCTTCTCCTACTCCGGACGGTGCAGCGAATCCTGGGGGTTCCACAAACCCGGGAGGGAGGCTGCCGTTCCACAGCCGTCTACCATTCCCCCCTTCCCCAGCCGGAGTAGAAGTTGAAGATTAAGACAGTTACCCCGACAATGCGACTTTAAAACTCCTTCTGGAATGAAATCGCAAACAATTGGGGCCACTCCGTTTGTGGGTTGTATTTGAGCTATTCAGAGAAGTGGCATAGTTCTCCGTATGGCTTCGTTTGCGTAGACCGGAGGCCCAGGGAGAGGGGGAAATATCCCGGTGCCCAAAACCGTTATTCGTTATCGAACTGTCAGTCCGTACGGCACGTAATGTTTGTCATAGGTGTGACTTTTTAGCTAAGGGAGGAGGCGGAGAACAAAGGTCTGGGTGATCCCGACTCCGGAGATCGATTTCCTTCTTCTCTTAGTTGGGGGTTTCTGAGTAGAAGTTCTGTAGAGGCAGCCCTTCTAATCGAGCCCCCTCCTTTGTAGAAAAACAAATCCTACAATAAATAAGAGTGTTTGTTTTTCGATTATGTTTTAAAGACAAAATGATCCACACTGCCTGTCTATATGATTTTACTAATTGGATAGTTGCCCTCGTAGGGGCAACCCTTCCCGGGAAGTTTATAAGATGGGATAAATTAATGTCATTTTCAAAGTCCCTAACGCGGGTCGTCCCACTAATCACTTACACCGGAGAGAATGTGCCAACATCTGCTCATGGTTATCCCCTCGGGTGGGCCCACCTGTCGCCCCACTGCAGGAAAACCCCAGTTTCCCCGAGGGTTTCTGGGGCTCAGAGCCAAGCTGAGTAGCAAGGAAGGGCCACGGGGCTTTCGGGAAGTTAATCTTTAACTTTGGTGCCTGACTAGGAAGACACCGTGCTTTCTTTCTCCAAGCAGAAGTGCGTGGCTATCCGAACTGTCACTTTCATTAATCCAGGACAAGCGTACAGTTTGTAAAGGGGAGGACGAGTTGTGTGCGTGTGTGCTAAGGCGCGCCTCGGTTTATTTCCACCCAGGTCTCCAGCTGACTCGGGCGCAGCCGCAAGCCAGGGCCTGGAAAGGTAGAGGCCCCGCCGCCTCCCAGCTTCGCAACTAGGACTCAGTTGGGGCGCGCGCCGCGCGGTCCCCTGCTGTCCTCGAGCCTCAGAGTCTGCTAGCGCGCACAGAGACTGCGGGTTCGGGAGGGCGTGGACAGTCAGAGGACAGAGGGGCGGACGTGCCTTTCCTGGGCTGGAGTGGAAAGCGCACGCTCCCGCACAGATGTGCGGTGGCTAAGGGCTGTTAGAAGCAAGGATTTCATTAGCGGAGAGACCCACAAGCAGCTCGGAACCGCAGGCGGGGTGAGGCCGGCTGCACCTTGCTGGTTGCTGGGCTCGTATTCCTCTGGCGGCGAGCACTTCCCTGAGTTTCTGCCCCGCCTCGCCGCCGACCCGCACGCCGGAGCTGCCGCCGGCCCTTTTCCCTGCCCCAGAGCGACCTTCGGGGAGCCGGAGCCTCGACGACCCCTCCCCTTTGCGTGCCGGGGAGACTTGTGCCCTTCGGAAGTCCCTCACCACACACCGGGGCCTCATCCGACGCGGGCGCGAGGCTGGGCCTGCGGTGCGTAAGGCGCGGGCACCCGCGCAACTTGGACCTTGTGTGGAGCAGCCGCGGAGCACTTCGCAGGAGCCAGCTGTTTGCACCACTACGGGCAGGGACAAGGCCAGCAAGCCGACTCGGTGCAACAGGTCTCCCCGGAGGGCAGCTGGTCCTCGGTGAGCCTGCAGCTGGTAGCGGTAGTCTGGTGGTCTGGGCCCCTTCCGCTCTCAACAGGCTTCCCGTCCCTTCCCTCCAGCTCAGAATAGAGAAGGGAAGGTATGTAAGGAAGTCCTGAAGGGGCTGCGGGCTCAAGGAGCTGCGGGCGCAAGTGCTCGACCAGTCCCAGGCCTCTGGGGTCCTGAGCCTACGCTCAGGGCACGGACACTGGGCCCTGCTCTGGCTCCGAGCGCCCCCTGCCGCCCACAA